TCAAATGGTTCACACAACACCATGAACATTTGGAATAACCATAAGAGAAGATATGAGTTCATAGAAATTAGCTTGCCCTCTCATTATTATGCACTAGTGCCAATTTCACCAACCAATGGGGTCTTTATATAGTGTGCACATTAGGGTTACACCATGTAACCCATGACTTTACCCATTCCTTATGCTCCATGGGTTTTAACCTCCATGGAGTATCCATGGGCCACCACATGGGTTAAACCCAACATAAGGAATCATGGATCATAAGCCCACATATATAAGAATCAATGATTTACACAATCAATCCCCATATATTTAATTAGTCTCTTTTTGATCACTAAATTAATTCCAAATTAATTCTTGATCAATACTAATTAAATAATATGATTTCATATTAATATATTAGAACGTATAATATATTAATATGTCACAAATATCTTCTTCTCATTAAAAGGTCTACCCAAATGTTCCGATGCCATGCAACCCAAATGGACCATGCCGGGTCGGGTCAAGTATATACCAATTATAGTTATGGACTTAGACACTAATCCAACAATAAAGTTCGTCGGAAACGAGCTTAGAATAAAGGAGTTATGACACTTTGAAGATAGTGTCAATAATGGTCCCTAAAGGAAATATTTGGCAAAGGGGTGCTAGGCATGAATGGAGTGCATGCGTGTAATTGGCTGGGTACGCCCAGCATAGGCTGGGTTACGCCCAACGTAATAGAGCAAATGTTCGCGGGTGCAAGGACGCGTACGCCCAGCGTACGCTCAGAGTCATTAAACCCTAATTTTGGGGCCAACCACTATATAAAGAACATAAGGGATCAACTCTAGCCTCCTTATCTGTTCCCTTATCCTCAGAAAACCCTAGATGGCCGTTCCATTTCCATTGTTGGGTGTGTTTGGCCTTGTGGAGCTTAGTTTGGCAAGGAAAGCTTAGAAGAAGAAAGAAGAGGTTGGCAAAGAAGGAACCTTGGTGGCTGGAGCTTGTAGATCTGAGATAGTAGCACCTTTTGCAACTACTTTAAGGTATAAAGCTTCTTGCTTGACATCTATTTTATGTAGATCTAAGTGTTGTGGAGTTTTAACACCATTCTTGTCCCAAAAACCCCCCAAAGTGATGCATGATGCGAGTTGGTTGAGATTAACTGTCCTTTCAGACCTTAGGAGAGGTCTTGAGTGAGAAAAATGAGGTCCCAAAGGCTTTGATTGTCTCATGTGTGATGTAGGTGGGTCTTAATGGATTAAGACCTTGAGTTAAGAGCTTTATGGACGTCCCAAGTAATAAAGTTTGAGACTTTTATGAATCCTAGGCATGTTTGGTCGATGGATCTGAAGTTTGGGCTTAAGAGCTTAAGCCATTAAGCACCTAGAAGGATTTTTGGTACAGACGTGCGTACGCCCCGCGTACCGGAGGAGTACGCCCAGCGTACGCCCTCTGTTGGGTTTTTGATTTTGGGCCTTAAGTGATTGGGCTATTTATGGGCTAGTGGGGCTTGGGCCGTGACTGAACATTATGGATGGAGTAATTTAGACCCAATAATTATTATGGACCTTGGATCTAGGCCCATTTGGTGAGGTGGGCCCAATTTAGTAAATTGGGCCAATATTGGGCTTTGCATGAGGATTTGGTTTTGGGTCTTGGCCCAATAAGAGGATAATGGACTTAATGAGTGTTGTGTGCCCTTGGCCTAGAAAGTCATGTTGGATTCTAACTTGGTGATTATCATGTGATAGTTGGGAGTCCCGGTGAGTCAGCGGTCAGAGATTTGCAGGATTTCGGCAGTTGCAAGGTGAGTTATCGTCACTATATCGACAGGGTCTAATGCACCAAGGCCGGCCCTTTATCGGATGGAAATCCGGGTATTGTTTGTTATGTTATTGTTTTGCTAGATCTGCATCCTGGTATTTAGGATGGTGTTATGTTAGTGACCTGGTTAAGGTCGGTACCCGGGATATAGGGTAATGTTATGCTAGTGACCGGTTAGGTCGGAATCCTGGTTAGGATGTTGATATGCTATGTGATCTGTTAGACTGTTTGTCTGTTTGAGGATTGTTATGTGATTAATTGTTTTATGTGCACATGGTTGTTTGACGGGGGTTGGGTTGAGGCGGGTCCTGCTTTGTGCTGTAGGCCAACATACCCAGGGCGGACCGGATATTCCGAAGGCCCAACGAGCGGTCCGGATAGGCTGAAGGCCCCAAGAGGGCGGACCAGACGTGCCGAGGCTCGGGGAGTGGACCAGGCCGACTGAAGGCCCGGTGCGGGCGGACCAGTCATACTGTAGACTCAGAGAGTGGACCAGGTGGATTGTAGGCCCGGTGCGGGTGGACCAATCACACTGTAGACTCGACGTACATGGCTAGACTCAGAGGGTGGACCAGGTGGACTGAAGGCCCGGTGCGGGCGGACCAGTCACACAGTAGACCCGATGTGCATGGATGTTCTATTTATGATATGTTATGAGTATGATATGTGTGGTTGGTATTTTGGGGGTAACTCACTAAACTTTCGGGCTTACAGTTTCAGTGTATTGTTTCAGGTACTTCAGGAGATCGTGGCAAGGCGAAGGCGTGATCGTACCGCTCCTCATGTTTTATGATTTATATGATATGGTTCTGGGGGATACTCTGATGTTTAAACTATTTTGAAAACGAGTTGTATGAACGTAATGGTTTTTGAATGATTTAAAATGTTTTAATTTGGCTCAAATTTTATGGGTGTTACAAATTTATTACTCATTAATGAGTGAACACCCGTATATAGTGCTTAAGTAATGAATTTACAAGATAATTATCATCAACTTTAAGTTTTGAATTTAATTTGTAGAGAATTTACTTGATAACATTTTACAAAAAAAATTATAGGGCATTAATTTCATTTTCGCACAAGGACTTTGAAATTTCAGGGTTGAGCCTACTAGGAGATGGCATGCTTTGGTTGACCAACCTATCATATATTATCATAAAGACTTTCATGATGTTTGAGAAGTATAGAAATAGTAATATGTATTAATCTAGAAAAACAAAAAAAAAAATCTCAATGTTGAGTTGTATAATCTAAATGGAAAATTTAAAGGGTTACAGTTTGAGATCGAAGAATACAAAAGGTAGAAGGATCTTAACTTAGTTTGCAAAACAGTTTTTAGCAAAGTTAAGTTTCTCCGAAATGTTTTGTTATAATAGTTTGGCGCATGTATGTCGGATTTTCAGAACTCTTGTAGAGGAGAACATGTTGAACTTGTAAATGAATGTTTTGTAGAGGGCTCATTAGGCTGGCTCTAATTCTAAGGCTATTTAGGTCGACTCTAGTATAAATATCTCATTTCATTGTAACCCTAATGTAGAGATTTATTATGAGTGCAATTAATACACCGTCATTGTATTAACATTAAACTTGATTATAAAGTGAACCATGTAAATTATTGTGTATTGTCTTGTTTTCTTCATTGGATTTTGTTGTCATGTTCAAACTGGTTAGGAGCATTGATGTGTTTAAATTTAGTCTTACCTTTCTAAAAGGTTTTATTAGAGTTATATAGTAGTTTAGGAATGGTAAAACCTGGTAGGAGAATTTAGAGGGAATGGATATGATTTGGTTCAGAAAATATAAGTATTAGTTAACTAAAAGCAGCAAAGTAAATAGGCGGCTTTTAATTCTAAAACTATAAACACTTGAACTAAAACTCAAAAAACCAACTAAGCATACAAACTAGAAATAGGATTTTGTTGGGTTTTAATAGCATCAAATGCACATCAAGAAGGTAGTGGAGTAATCTAATGATTTACCTAAGTGTACATACACTCTAGGATCTAGGTTTTACTAGTTTTAGCAACGTACATTTAAATTAAAAAAAAATAAGGATAAAATACTTACCTTTTGATCCTTGGATCATGTGATGATCATCTCTTGCAAAGGATGAAGATCCCAAAGGAGAAATCCTCTAATGTAGTCAGATCCAAGACTCCAAAAGCAAACAAGGAAGAAAGAGAGAGGGGAGAAGAAAACTAGAAGCTCCAAAAGGTATGCTAGGGTTTAATCCCAAGCCCTTTATTTATAAGTAGCAGATAAATCCTTTAGGGTTTCAAACTATTAAGAATTATCCTTACCTTATCGGTAACCTGCCATATCCTTATCCAAGAACATGTAGAAATTGCCCATATGAACTCTCAGTGAGCTTCTCGAATACTCCAATTAATCTCTTGGATTAATTATTACTCATTTCCTTTAATTAATTTAAAAGAATTTAATTAATTATCAAAATAATTTTTAATTTATTTATTAATTCCTTAATAAATTAACAACTTATTTTCAGAATTTCCTTAATGCTATTTTTGACATGAGACCAACCCAAAAGGACCCTATTATTATTTAGAAATATTACCAACTAGTTAATGGCCTTGGACACTACTTCCAGTAGTCTCCCACTTGGACGAGTCATTAAATTTTTAAGGTCTTAATACCTCTCAAATAACTAACAGAGAGTTAGTCATCCAATGCAACTACAGAACCCTTGATCTTAATTAAGTTTATCCCTTAGATAAGTGATCAGTTATTCCCTTGTTCTAGATATTGATTAGTTATGGATTCAATCAAATATCGAATTTAGTAAAGAGAATAAACACAAGATGTAATTAAATATGTTTCAGCTCAAATTCAGTCTGGAAGCAATATAGGATACAAGTTTTAAAGGTGTGAAAAAATGTGTACACATACCCTAGAATACAACATTATTTATAGTGCAATCAACAGACTACGAAAATACGATGTGACTTCGACATCAAAGGAATTCTATATAAGTTAACACTGAAATACATAGATATATTGAATGAGCATATCCTTCAATATGGACAACAACCCTTCGCTAATATATACAAAGTAAATCTCTTATTGAAGTCTTATACATACAACACAACATAACCTCTACATCCCCCATTGTGTTAAATGTGACTTTCTTCATTATTTTTCAAATACCTAATAACTCCAAGAAGGGTTATTCAAACTTCAAGATACCATCTAAGAATAGAACGTATCTCATGCTTATCTTCTCCAATATTCATCAAACAACTCACCATTCGAAGTAAAACATTGTTAATCTGAAGAGTTGAGAATCTTTCTTTCAAATCAGTATAAAACATATAGTTCTTTTGTCCTTTGTTACCCTTCTTCCCATAGAAAACAATCCCTTTTGCATTTTGAAGTGCTTTACCATCTTCAAACTGCTCAACTCCATTCATTGAAGTGCTTGGTTTAGGAACTGTGTTCGTGAACTCTTTGGCAAGCTCTATGTCAGACATTGTCATTTGTGAATAGTATAAGATAAGAAACACTTTGACACGTGAGAAGGTTGTATTGTAGGTAGTAGGGCTTGGAACCTCTTTTGTATTAAGCTTCAACATGGTTTTCACTAACATCATGAAATCATATGGATTCACCAATAGAAAATATACAATAGTGAATTCATAATTCTTTTATTTTCCTATAACCACCCTGAATCTAAAGTTATAAAGAGCATTCTCAAACATCATATCCTTCGATATGTTGATAAGTTTGATTATTTTATAACTGACCACACCTTCTATTCCTATTGAGCAAGATTTGAATGAAATCTAATCTTCACATGCTTGTGAGCAGGCGTTTCAGCAAAGTCACGAGGAAGATTAAATTGATGAAATTTAAACATCAAATAACACAACATAAAACCAAGTTGATTCTCTATTGTGTTATCAATAGAGTAACCAGATATAGGTTCCTTCTAAAACTCCCGAACATCACAAAAAGCAAGACTTTTGATAGTCTCAAAATTCCAAAACTTCTTCACATTTCCCTTTTTCTGAATATCCTCACCTTTGCTTTGTCTGTGTCGAATAATGTTGGCAGTTTGTATCATTCTCCCAACATGATATCTTTTCCTTTGTTTCAAATCTTTATTCGATATCATCTTCCATTTTCTTTTTCCTGAATCAATTTGAACAATTTGATTATTTGGTTGTTGGGTTCCAACAACAATTCCTTTTGAAGCTTGAAATTTTTTCATATTAAGATCAGGAATATTCTCAACATAAATTGTTGTAGTAACCACAGATGACTATACTTTTCCCACAACCTTCAGTTGGGTTTGTTTCTCAACAATTCCCAAACCAGACACATAATAGGACCAAATCGTGTTGATAACAGTCATTCATTCCAAACTAACATTCGGTATTCGACTACAACTTACACTTAGCCACGAATAAAAAACATATACAACTTACACTAGATACAAGTCAGTAATAATAATTAAATTCTTTTTGAAATGCTCAATCATAAATTTGTCTTTTCTTACATTCATGGTCCTCTCTTAATCGTGTCTTTTCACTATATGGCATACCCACCATTTTTTCTTTAATATTTCATCTTCATACTCCATACTCTCGATTTACAACGAGATATTCATGAGTATTATCCTTAAAGATTGGTACCATTCAATTACTTTCTCACATATTTAGGTACTCTACCTGTTCTCATGCCTTTATGAAGTTCGTCACTCCATAGTTTATCCATGCAATTTCCCCTAATTAAATTTCAATTTTTCATATAGTACTTGGGAAAACCGCCTAACTTACTCTTACTAATCGCATATCTGACCTTTACCCTTTCTAACTAGAGGATACTATCTTCCCCTTTCCATTTTAAACAATCAATTCCTCTTTCTCTACTATAACTTTAATCGATAATCATCTCATATCTGTTCTCAATCACACTAATCCATTCCATACCAACAAAGTGCTTAATTTCTCAAGGTATTCAAACGATACCTATCAAGTAATCGATAAAATTATATCTTCGACTCAACCACCACATAGTCCTTATTGACAAACAATTCAACAACCAAAATAGGAATTAATTCACATTGATCCTTTAATCAACACCTACTTTCTATAGAGGACCTCACCTCAATAAATATTCTCATCCCGAGATAGGTTCACATACCACTATCTATTAATGAGTTACAAACTCACCACATTTTTTATCTGCTACTCTACTCCTCCATATAGCCTTATAACCAAGGATACCACCTCATAAAAACTTTCTATCTCATAACATAAAGATTCATCCAAATTATCCCTAAACTTTCCAATACACTAGACTTGAACATTGACAAGTCGATGGATCATTTTCTAAATAAGTCTCTATTCCCTTTCTTTCCTTAGCTTACACAATCATTCAAATAATAACTTCACGTAGTTGAAAAAAATTAGTGGGTTAGAAATCATAAAATTTTCACTCCATTACTCCGAGTTTAAATGTTACAATATAACCAACTCCTAAAGCTCAACCTTGTTTATACAATGGAGTATCTCAAAAGAACACTTCACTCTAAATCCAATATTTAAATAACCAAATTTTATGCATGCCAAAATTATCACATCCATTAACAAATGTAATCTACTTTCCAGTTTAAGACTAGGAGTCTATTACCAGATGCCTAATTCACTTAAACCATAACTTGTATACCAACTTGTAACACCCTAATTTTTAATACAAAGTACACCAAAAAAATTCAGTTTTATTACATGTATCATAACAAATTCGGTGTACATCCGTATCACAAATAAGTACAAGTAGCAATCAAGAGGATCTTACAATAACCTTGTGTAAGAATCCAAGTCGGATGCTACTAACTCCACTTCATGCTACCAAATTTACCTGAACCTAGAAGTCTAAAAAAACGGTAAGCTATAATGAGATTAGTGAGTAACCATATCAACACGTTATAATTTAATTATTTGACCAAATATATCATCACATTTTCAACCATATAATCCTAATGTGTCTTCTAAATACTCAATACACAAGTACGACATAGCTAACACTAAGTTTGTCATTTAGTATTCATAATAGACTTACAGCCAAAGAAGCTACTATTCCAACTAACCCTTACTCAATAGTAATCGATACTACATACACTACAACTTATCCAACCAATACTCCTCTTACCAACATTACATTCATTTAAACTTTCACTACAATATATTCTTTTGTGAGTATAGTATTGCGACCACCAAGGCTAATATTAAGTTGTAGTGCTAACATTCAAGCATTTATACATTTTTGTAACCTCGAAATGTTACACACCAAGACCACCATAGATAATTTCTCCCAATACAGTGGTGTTACAGTTACTAAGACCGCCATAAATAACTAATTCCAATATAGTGGTGTTACAGTCATGTACACCACCACGAATAACTAATTCCAATATAGTAGTGTGACAGTCACCAAGACCACCACGAATAATTGATTCTCAATACCAAGGTCTTACAGTCACCAAGACCACCATTATATTAATCCATGATATTATAGTCACTAAGACTATCATGATTAACAATATAGTGGTATTTCCAGCACTAAGCATACCATTACAGTCAATACTTGTATCAAAGATAATACACTGATATTTACAGCACAAAGCATACCACTAATAATCGATTCCAACATAGTGGTATTACAACACTAAGCATACTACCAGTTCTTTCTTAATAATCTACAAATATAACATTGCAGACACTTCCACTATTTACTTGCATTCATCAAATTATGGTATTACAGTCATCAAGACTACTATATATTTCCTGACAATATACAAGTATAACATTATAGACAACTAGTATCCATTGACTTGTATTTCCCTGACCCGAATCTACAAGTATAACATTACATACACCTAGTCCACTATTGAATTACATTATTCCAACGATGGTATTATAGTCACCCAGACTACCATTAATCTCAGACTTATTGACTTACAATACACTACCCTTATTGTTATGATTGCATTAAAGGTATACAACCTCATCACACCACTTTACGGGTAACAAGACTTATTTAGTCTAGAACATGCTTGTACACTAATGGCACACCAACATCCTACCATGCAATAGATATACAATGTCATTAACCTAAACTATCTGTATATATTCCTCCATAGTATTCCACTATATAAATTCTCCATTTTTCATAGCAATAACTGGCCTTACCAATATTCCACTAATCAAAACCAATAACACTAGATTAATTATTTAATATATATGACCTATTTATAATGTATCAGAACTAACTCATTATGTCACATAATAATAACCTGCTATAAAGTATAAGATTAATCATATTAATTCACGTCAATCTTTCAACCACATAGAACCCTACAAGTTCTAAATCCATAACATAACATTTCAGAATAATCATAATATGGTATTTATCACGAGATTAACACAATAAAATAATAACCATACATCTACATAACATATATCTAGAGCATAAGTGTGGTTACCCACTTGGTTAGTTAGGGAAGACTAACTATTATTCCGATCTCTAGCTTTATGTTGCTTTCTAATTCGTCACTTGTCCATACCTCGACTCGTCTTGTAACTCAACCCCTATACTCTTGTACGCTAGTATAACTTTGCGGTAATAAGCCTTTGTAAATTCCTCCAGAGCCTCTCTCTTAATCGTGTATGCCAAACCCTCCAAATGACACAAATTAAAAGTGTTTATACTATATGGCTTCCATTCCGCAGCAAGTATATGCCCACATCGCGGTTACGTGTTCATCCTAATATCCACCACCTATTTTATTCTTTTTCTACATGTCTTTAGCAATCGATATGTGTATTGTGACTCTGCTCACTTTCGTGTTGCATAAGTTAACCTATGAGTTGTGTTTACCTAAGACTTGACCGTTTTACTTTGACTGTCAGCGACTTACCGCAATGGTCTAAGTCTCCTTCCACTGACAAGCTTCGTTACACATCCGTTCATACCTCTCCTTTACATGCTCAGCCTGAACCTATGTAACACACATTTTATAAAATAGATCCATGGATGGTATAAAGGATTCAAAGACATGGTTTTTAAGGAAAACCATATGTGACGACGTGACATGAAGGGTGTCGAAAAGTGGCATCCAAAATGAGGAACACATATCTGAAATGGGTGTCACGACGTAATGAAATGAGGATCATGACGTGAAAGGAGTTGTAGCCCAAGCCCATGATTTTAGGGTTTTCCCCATGTTTAAACACCTTAACCTCAGTTAGGGCATCCTTTTCAGCCTCCAACCACCCCATTTCGAAAACCCTAGCCCCTTTGAATATTCTTGGTGTTCTTGGCCACTAAATACACATTTCTCATATTTTGGTGTGGTGTTTGAAGACCAAGTTTCTTGAAAATTGTTTTGGTGAAGAGCTCAAGTGTAGATCTAGACAAAGGACTCCATTTTTGGACCATTGTGAGTAAAAAGCTTCCATCTTCACTTTTAGTTTGCTAGATCTTGTAGTTTGATCATGTATGTCCCTTTTGGTCCTTGTGAGCTTCTTCTTTGGAGTTGGGTGAACTCCAGAACCTCTTGAGATTATGTTATAATCTCGTAATCTAGTTGGTCAGGTAAAGTTTGCATTTTTATCTTGTTCTTGAAGCCATGCATCTTTTGGGAATGTTTTATGCTAGTATGGACTTAAGGTTTAGGATTTTGTCTTATCGTGAGGTCCTAATGGATAAAGTTGGAAACTTTATCCATTAAGTCATTACAAAAGAGTAGATATGAAGTTATGGATCAAGACTAGAAGGAATTAAGCATATAATGAAGATTTTGGTTTTTTGCCAAAAGTCACGAGGTGGCATATGGTTTGCAACGACGAGGCGATACTCAGAACCGTGACTGTATTTTCGTTAAGTTTCCACGACGTGACCAATGGGTGGTCACAGCGTGGGAGTTGGTTGGGGTTGACTTTTTTTCGTTGACCGTTGACTTTTGACCAGTTTGACTTTTGGTCAAACTTTGAGGGGGTGTTAACTTGTAGTCTGAGGTTTAGCCTCTGTTTGGTTCAGGGGGTTCGTATAGCTGATGCTGTGAGACTTTGAGTAGCGGGTTTCAACTCATCCTTCAGGTGAGCCTTCATACTATATCTGCATGTGTGGTAGTATATACATGTTGACCAATTAGGTATTATTTGTTGATTGTTGTTATATGTGAACTGAGAACTCCTGGACTGCTGT